GTTAATTTAATAACTGAAAACCATTAAACATTCTTCATAGTATTAGCAGTATCTATATAGTCATTGCAGAACCAAGTAGCATGTTTGGCCCATGGAGGAAGAGGAGATGTAATCTCAAAGAATGCTTTAGGTGACATAATGATATTGATTTGTTTTTCCTAGACTCTCTGATTGCCTTTTATTTTTCTTAACACATTGCGTACCGCATAGAAATCTCTTAAGACATACGCCAGGAACCACACGTTCTTGGGCAAACTGCACGTTAGGTTCTGAGCTGCACTCATTTGAACTAGCAGATATCCATTCCCTAGCTACTTCAAGAATATAGAACAGTGTGCTGTTTTTGAACTTCGACCCTCAGGGTGAAGAGTCACAAATACAATAATCCTATATTACCCTGAGTTTCAAAAACTGAAATAGCTAATGCAAGTGCAAACCCAAGTTAACTTGTGCGCAGTCCACAACGTTTGGGCAGGAAAACACGAGTTAACTCGTGAGCGGTAAAAAATGTGTTAAGAGAGCCATGTGCTTACCTTTTATTAAGAACTTCCAACTTCTCAATCACACTGTTTTTGAATCCACATTATTTAGGGTATTTTTCTAAGTCCTCTGACTTCTTGTTCTAATTTGAAATGATTACTTTTCAGACTGGCCATTAACCTGGGATTTCTTTTCACTTCTACTGTTTATTGGATCCTGTACTTGTGAAAGAGAGAAATAGCTTGTTTACACACACAAAATTAAATTCCTCTGAACAGATATGTGAGAAGCAACTTTTTCTTTTTTCATCCTCACTTGAGGATATGTTTTGCATTGATCAGTTGCCTTCTATGTACACCCTGACTAGGATTGAACCGGAAACCTGGCTATGTGCCCTGACTGGGAATTGAACTTGACACCTTTGGTGCTCAGAACAATGCGCTAAACCAACTGAGCCACACTGTCCAGGGTGTGAGAAGTAACTTTGAATCTGGCAAGGTCTTTCTTTTGCCCTCACACTAGATTAATAGTTTAGCTAGAGCATAAACCTCTAGGTTCAATATTATTTTCCCTCAGAGCACTTGTAGCTTTTTTTTTTTATGGGAAGTCTAATGCTAATCTAATTATTGTTTCTTTAGGTTACTCCCTCTTCCCTTTGGAAACTGAGGATTTTTTGGAGTTCCCTCAGGGTGCTAAAATTGAAGAGGAATGTGATGAAACCATGTTGCATATAGTAAAACTAACTTTTTAATACTTCCCTGTATTTTACGTATCCAATGTGGTTTTCTATTGCTTTGTGTAAATTAATTACTATACTACTGATGAAGACATCACTTCTCTTCACCTAATGTCTCCTCTTATTCAGTAGTGTGAACCTATAACAGTACAAAGAGGAGAAATGGAGAACTTTTTAGGTCACCTTTCCTTGTCTCTGCTCTTAAAAGCAGTTCATTTGTTGTAAAATAACAGTGTTAACCCACAATTTCAACATCACTGAAAATATATAAAGATTATAGCCTAAATATCTATAACCTGAAAAGGTAATTTTTTTGGATTTGTAGCATTTTATCCTACATTTTAGGCAGTGAAATTTTAGTATCCAGAGTTCCATATTTTCGCTTGTATTAAACTTTGCAGTATAGTATATGCATATGAAAGCTAATGATTATGATTGGTTACTAGTGTTTGGTACTTTTTAAAAAGTCAGTGTTGCCCTGGCCAGTTTGGCTCAGCGGTTAGAGTGTCGGCCTGCGGTCCGGAGAGACCCGGGTTCGGTTCCCGCTAAGGGCACGTACTTCGGTTGCAGTTTGTCCCCGGCCCTGGTTGGTCGTGCGGGTGGCAGCCACTCGATGTGTCCCTTCACGTCGATGTTTCTCACTCTCTCTCCCTTCCTCTCTCTCCCTCCCACTCTACCTGTACAAAAAATGGAAAAATATCCTCGGGTGAGGATAAAAAAAAAAAAAAAAAAGTCAGTGTTAGTAAATTTGTTTTAATAACTGGAGATCACTTATTTCTAGTGCTATGTGTAGTTCATGTATGAGTTTGCTAAATGTTGCTCATTCTGCCGTTATGTTTTGTTTTAATCAAAGTATCTAAATTTCATTGGTGATTTTTTTTTTTTTTAAGTTTTAGGATTATCAGAACATAAAGGATTTTTCTTAATAAAATCAAGGGGTAAAAATAAGTATACTTTAATAGCACTATTATATCTAGGGAGAAAAGGTTAGTGTGGTGAAGAGTTACAAAAGAGTTGCCCCATCAGTTTGCCTCAGTGGATTGAGTGTTGTCCCGTGGACTGAGAGGTCCTGGTTCGATTCCCAGTCAGTACATGCCGGGGTTGTGGGCTTGAGATCCCCAGTAGGGGGTGTGCAGGAGGCAGCCATTTGATGTATCTCTCTTATATCAAATGTTTCTATCTTTCTCTCTCTAAAATCAATAAAAACATTAAAAACGAGTATATGGTTCTGACAACTATTTTGGTTTAGTTATAATGACACATTTGAAAAAATATTCATAAATATAGAAGGAAAATTATGTCGTTTTTGGAACATCTCTGTTAAAATAATTTGGAATGATCAAAAATAACCATTTAGCAGTTTGCTTCTTTTCTATCAGTTTAATCAATTATTCTGTGTCTTTGTTACCTCTCAAAATCTAACGTTATAATATGTAGGAACATATACTCTTCAGCTAATATTTTAACATGATTTTTGTGCCATCAGCAGGTACCAATTATTTTATAATCAAAAATGCCATACTACACAAATAATTGGAACTTGCCAGGAGTAGATTGGAGATAGTAGAGATTCTCTTCGGAAACACAAAGCCCTCATCAGACTCTGATTTAATTTGTAATTTCGACAGTTTTGGTAAGGTTCAGTTCGGAAATTGAGTTGTATGGGGACTCCTGGAGAGTTAATTTAATTCAATTAAGTGATTCATACCAATTTTATAGCTAATAAGCAGTGCTGTTACGCTTGAAAACTTGAGACTATGTGCCAGCATGTAACATATGTAAGTTTTGAATTATCCATTCCCATGATCTACCTGAAACTCCAAGTCTTTCCCCAAATGCTGTGACATTCTAGTTAAGAAGTGATCATCTAGATCATCGATTTTTAACCTTTTTTATCTCATGACACACAGAAAGTAATTACTGAAATTCTGTGGTACCCCCCAAAATATTTTTTTTTACTGATCTAACAAAAAAAATCTTTAATTTTGATTCAGTCACACCGGATAGCTATTATTGTGTTGGCTGTCTTTTTTCTTTTTTTTTTTTTGACAATCTAAAGAAAAAAAGGTCAGTGCCCCTGACTAAATAGTCAGGTATAACATGTTTTAAAAACTATTGTAGCCCTGGCTGGTTTGGCTCAGCGGTTAGAGCATCCACCTGCAGACCAAAGAGCTGTGGGTTCGATTCCAGTCAAGGGCATGTACCTCGGTTGTGGTTGGGTCCCTGGCCCTGGTCAGGGTCATGCGGGAGACAGCCAGATGATGTGTCTCACGTCAATGTTTCTCTCTCTCTCCCTCTCTCCCTCTTTACTCCTTCTCTCTCTCTCTTCCCCACCCCCTTTCCTCCTACTCTGTCTAATGATAAATGGAAAAGGATCCTTGGGTGAGGATTTCAAAAATAAAAGTAAAAAATTATTGCAGCCCACCGGTTTAAAATCACTAATGTAGATCAGTTAGTAGACTATTTCTTTTTATCTGTTTTATATAAATCTTATTTTATCCAGGTAATTTTTATTAAAGAAAATAAATGTAATGGCGTTAAACAACAAAAATAAGGATGCTGAAGAATGTGGTTTAGAATCAAATCAAGGGCCCACTTAAATTATACCCTGCTTCCAAATTGATCTCTGAGCTAAGAATTGATTCCTAAAAGAGTAACTGTTAATGGAAGGGAGAGCATAGTGGAATTTCTCAGTTGAATGGGAATTTTAAAGAAATGGTCAAATACCATACAATTGCTTATTGCCCTATTATTGTGTACCTTGTATGTTGTTACCTGATGAATTTTATGATGATTTGTTGTTAATCATCACCTGAGGATATTTTTTCCATTGATTTTTAGAGAGAGTGGAAGAGAGGGAGGGAGGGGGAGAGAGCGAAAGAGAGAGACATTGATTGGTTGCCTCTTACACGTGCCCGGACCAGAGCCTGGGATTGAACCTGCAACTCGGGTACAGTCATCCTTTGCCACTTTGCAGCTTCACTCTGTTGCAATTTTTTCAAATATATTCATTAAAAAGTTGAACGAGCCCTGGCCAGTTTGGCTCAGCAGTTAGAGCGCCAGCCTGTGGTCCAGAGAGACCCAGGTTCGGATCCTGCTAAGGGCATGTACCTCGGTTGCAGTTTGTCCCCGGCCCTGGTTGGTCCTGCGGGTGGCAGCCACTCGATGTGTCCCTTTCACGTCGATGTTTCTCTCCCTCTCTCTCTCTCTCTTCCTCTCTCTCCCTCCCGCTCTGTCTGAATAAAGAATGGGAAAAAAAAAAAAAAAAAGTTGATCGAGACAGTGAAAATCATATAGGTGCGCTCGGTTGTCTGAGTCAATTATACACCCCTGTATTACAATTTAAATTACTGTACGTATGGACTGTAGGCCTGTGTATTCAAGCACATCAGGACTCCTTCAATGCCAGGTGCAACCGCTAGAGTCTGGAACGGATTAACCACGATAAATGAAGGATGACTGTACGTGTCCTTGACTGGTAGTCGAACCTGAGACCCTTAAGTGAGCAAGCTGATACTCTATCCACTGAGCCACACACGCTAGGGCTATGATGATTTTTAAGAAACAGAGTTTACTTTTTGATATTATTTACTGTTCATCTTCCTTTCTCCTTGCCCCCTCCCCTGCGTTTTTTTTCTTTGAAGGTATTTAATTTGGGTTAATAGTGTATTTTTTTCTCTCCTTTGCACTTTTGGATAAATATATTTAAATATCTATACATAAACAGTAATTTAAAATCCTTAAAAGGTCTTATTCAATTGATTGATTTTTGTTGTATTGGCAGAGTGAAGATAGTCCGAGTCCCAAGAGACAGCGCCTCTCTCATTCAGTCTTTGATTATACATCAGCATCACCAGCTCCATCACCACCAATGCGACCATGGGAGATGACATCAAATAGGCAGCCCCCTTCAGTTCGACCAAGTCAACATCATTTCTCAGGGGAACGATGCAACACACCTGCACGCAACAGAAGAAGGTTAGTTGATTACAATTTATTTCTTAAATTTTTTCCATTGGTAGATGTAGACATTTTATAATCATATAAACACATATGTACTTATTCACTCAAACATGAAAAATGACTTTACAAGTTTAGATTCCTACATTAGATCATGAGAGTTCATTTAGCTTGTGATTGACAGATAAAGAAATTAATAGAGGCTAAAGTGATTTACCTAAAATTAATCTATACCATTATGTATGAATTCAACTACCTTATGGTTTAAGACTTTTCGCAGACCAGTCTGCAATCTGAATATGGGAAAATGCATTTTATTGTTCACAACAGTAAGGAACTAAGGAGATCCAAGAAATAAACTACCTTTTCTCCACTCTATTCCTATTTCTTATGTATCTTCTAAGACAATTGGGAGCATAATTAGCTTTCTTTTAAAAGTGTGAACTCTATTATGAAGAATGATTGAAGTTTAGTTCAATTCTCAGTATTCTTTCATGGGAGTTGGCCTTTGCCTTTCCTTTCCAGGGGAATACATTTCTTCCTGAGCTTGTTTAGAGGGTTGTTGTCTGAGGTCAAACATTTCTTCCTCCAGGGAAATAGTGTATCTTTGGGGTGAGACAGCTGTTTGCATGTACAGGTTGTTGATAACTGAAGAAATATTGTTAATCTTGGAGTTAAGATTTTATGGGTGGAATGTTTGTGTCTCCTCAAAATCCATATATTGAGGCCCTTACCTCCAGTGTGGCTGTATTCAGAGAAAGAAACATTGATATGAGAGAGACACATTGATTTGTTGCTTCCTGCATGTGTCTGGAGATGGAACATGCAACCCAGGAAATCGAACCCAGGGCCCTTCGGTGCATGGGCCGACCATCTAACCACTGAGCCACACCAGCCAAGGCAAGGGTTAGTGTTCTTCTAAGAAGTAACAGAGAGCTCACTTTCTCTAGCATGTGAGGACACAGCGAGAAGGTAGCCAACTTACAAGCCAGGAAGATAACTCTTGCCAGAAACCAACCATACTGGCACATTGATCATGGACTTTTGGTCTTCAGAACTGTGAGAAAATAAGTGTCTATTGTTTATACCTCCCAGTCTGTGGTATTTTGTTATGGCAACCCTGGAAACAATACTGAAGGGGTCTTAAAACCACCATTTTTTATTCCAAGTGAAACAGAATAAACCTGTTTCTGAGCTATATTCTATTGAAACACTAAGACTTTTACATTACCTGGTGCCTTATTTCTCAATTATATGAGAATGTTTAAGTAAAAAAAATTACGTCAACCAGGTAAAATATTTTATAGCTGTTAATATGAGTGTAGAGAAATATGGTTATTTCAAGATTACAGCTTGAACACCTACTGTAATCTATCCTATTTTATGGTGAAATGTGTCACACATTCAGAAGAATATTTACAACAAATGTACACTTAAAAGGATCACACACAATTATACCCAACAGCTAGGTCAGAATAAAATATTGTTAATACTTCAAAAAGCACCCCCTCTTTCTTTCTGAAGAATAAGCCCTTTCCTGTGATTTGTCGTCCTTCCCTTGTTATACTTTTTAGTACCTATGAATGTATTCTAAAATAATAATAATTTTGGGTTTTGCCTGTTTTATTTTCATTTAAATATTTTTTTTACTTTGTTTACTAAACATTCTGTTTTTTAATGTGAGTAGCAGTAGTTCATTTATTGTTACTGTGATATAATCTTTTGTTATATTAATGTACCATAATTTATGTACCCATCTATTGTTGGGTAATGATTATGTCCAGTTTTTTACTATTACAAACAGTGCTATTTAGGAACCTTTATGCATGCATCTCCTGGTGTACATGTGCAAATATTTTATTAGAATATAAGCCGAGGAGTGTAATTGCTAAATCATAAGAAATGCTCTGGACTAGAAAGGGAGAGTTAGAGTGTCTGTTGCCACATGGTAGTAACAGCTAGTTATGGGTTCTCAAATTGAAGAGAAGCATCATACTCTACCTTCATGGTAACACAAAGGAGGGATCTTGGCGGAAATTAGGGGGTAGCACTTAACCTAGTTGAAGTGTCGTCCCATGCACTGAAGGGCCGCAAGTTCAATTCCAGGTCAGGGCACATAGCTGGGTTGTGGGTTGATCCCTGGACGAAACGAGAATGGGAGGTACCCCGATGGGTGTCTGTCTCTCTCTCTCTCTCCTCTCCTCCCCCTTCTCTCTTTCCCTCTCCCTTCCTCTCTCTAAAATCACAAAAACATATCCTTGGGTGAGGATTAAAAAATAAAAATGAAAGAAAGTTTTTATATATAGACACAAAACCATCATTTCTAAATATGTCTAGTATTTTCAGATGGAGACAATAAGAGAAGAATTTTTTTAAAAGAATACAAAATCATCTTTCAGAATTGAAGGAAGACTGCATGTTGAGCAAGACCTTGGGGAAATTTCAGAACATACACCAAGAATAAAAATTTACAAACATCCCAAGACAGAAATCTTTAGTTCTACCAGCTGATTAATCATTTAAGTATATAAAGCCAAAATATAAAAGCATTTCAAACAGAGTCAAAGAAAGTTGACCAGTAAGATCCCCCCTGAAAGTTTTTTTAAAATATTTTTTTCTTTATTGATTTTAGATAGAAAGGGAGAGGGAGAGAGGGATAGAAACATATAAGAGAGAACTTCAATCGATTGGCCCCCTTCTGCATGCTCCCTACTGGGGATTGAGCCTGCAACCTGAGCATGTGCCCTGACAGGGAATCCAACCAGTGACATCTTACTGCATGGATTGACACTCAACCACTGAGCCACACTGGCCAGGTGAAAGAATTATTAAATATTTTACTCTGTCTAGAAAGAAGAATAAATGCAAGAAGTAGAATTCAAGATTATTGTTTAAAAAAGAAACTGAAAAGATCTGAACATGAGATGCAGCAGAGCAAAGTAAAACTGAATTTTTATTTTTCCCCCTACTAATGCTGAGTAAATCTAAATGTTTTTAGAAATTGGAAGGAAGTGTATGTTTAAAAATGTAAGGGTAGCCCTGGCCGGGTAGCTCAATTGGTTATAGCATTGTCCTGTAGATCAGAAATTGTGGGTCCAATTCCCAGTCAGGGGACATACCTGGGTTGCAGGTTTGGTCCTTGGTTGGGGTGTGTGGGAGAGACAACACATCAGTGTTTCTCTCTCCTCCCACTCTAATGTAAAGATCTGTTATGTGCAAATATATGAGTTAGTATGCATAGATAAAATTTCCTGTTCTGTTTTCTTAAAGAGACTAGAAATAGTGACTCTCGTGCAGCAGTGAGATAAACTAGCTTTAAAATATCATTCACTCTGCAATTAAAGGTTCCAAGGCTCTTTGGAGAACTGGTTAATTCCAGAACTGGTATAGGGAAAATATAAGGTAAATCACAGCATATTGTGGTACCAGATATTAAAGAAGTGCTCAAAAGGATAAGGACATAATGAAAGGGCACAGGAGCCAAACTGAAAGTGCTCTTATTGGACAAAGTTGAAATAATTTGAACTACAAAATAAAACAATAGTGTATATTATAACCAAGAGAATAAAATAAATATCCATGAGCACATACTGATTATAAATGAATAAAATCAATGGGAAAGAAGTGACAGCTCTTCCTATAGAATTCCAATTAATACATGTAGAAAAAGGGAATAGAAGAAAATCACTATTAGAATATCATAATGATTGCTGCTCATTCATGCATGCATACTAAATTGGCAAACTTTCAGTAGAAGCAGAGTAATATTTACAAAGGGAAGAATGATTTTGTAGTAGGGGGTGTTGGCAGAAACCAGGTTAGTCAAGTGGTCAGCGATGCAGTGAAAGGACATGTCACCTATGTATCCTGTCCAGTATTTCATAACCTCAGGCAGGTCATGAGAAAACATCAGGCAAACCCAGGTTGAGGGGGATTCTGTTGAGTAAGGCTATGTGTGTTTTCAGGGGTTCCAAGGTCATGAAAAACAAGGAAGGACTGAGAAAATGTCACAAACTGGAGAAATTAAGGAGACATAACAACTGTATGGAATAATGAGATCCTGTATTGGATTTCAAAACAGTGAGAGGGCCATTGGTGGAAAAACTGGTGAAATCTCAATACATCCTGTTTTTTATTATTATTTTTTAATCTTATTTATTTATCCTCACCCGAGGACATTTTTTGCATTTATCTTCAGACAGAACAGAAGGGAGGGAGGGGGGAAGAGAGAGAGAGAGAAACATCGACTGGCTGCCACCCACACAACTCCAACTGGGGCCAGGGACCAACTGCAACCGAGGTACATGCCCTTAGCGGGAACCAAACCCTGGTCTCTCTGGACTGCTGAGCCAAAGCGGCCAGGGCACATCCTGTTTTTTAATTGGTAGTGTGAAACCAAGGTTTCTTTCTTTATTTTAATAATTTTCCTATGCTAATAGAAGAAATTAGTATGAAGGAAAACTAGAGGTTTTGCAGAAACTACTAAAATTGTCTCAGGATAAAACATTTAAAAAATGAGTTTAAAGTGGATAGCTCTTAAATTCAATGAAGTACAGTATGTAGGTTTTGAAGGAAAAATGCAAAAAAAAAAAAAAGAGAGAAAGATGCTAAAAATAAGGTGCAAGAAGCAATTAAAGGAGCAAGAACCTGGGGAATGGTATCAAGAGCACTGTTGAAGAGTTAATGTCACAAAGGAGTGTTCCTTGTTCTCTTTAAGATTGAGCATTTGGGAGTGAGAAGAAACAGATTTAGAGGTGCAAAGTGGGACAATTGAGAGAAAGGTAATCTGACCTCAGTAAAGATTGCTGAGGTGGCTGTGTGCAACTGTGTCTAGGAGGAGGTTGTTTAGCCTCTTTTACCAGTGTGAAGTACATTTTAATGAGGCCTGCTGCTTTTTTCAAATTGCATTGGTGCTGAGCCATTGTAAAAAGCAGTGGAGATAAATTGTGGAATTAAGAGAATGGAAGTCTACTCAAAGTACTTGTTAAATTTGGCCCTGGCCAGTTTGGCTCAGCGGTTGAGCGTCAGCCTGTGGACCAGATTGTCCCAGGTTCAGTTCCCTCTAGCGGCACATAACAAGAAAAAAAAAAACTTGTTAAATTTGTGTTAAACTACATAAATGACTAGTGCATGGAGAATAAAAGTAGATTCCTTCAATAACCAGATTCTAACTAAAAATTCCTATATGTTAATGGAATTTTTATGCTCACATTATCTCTCAATTATTTTCATTCTCAGCATTTACTCAGTTACTGTTATATTTGTAGTTGTCAACAAATGTTCTTTGGTTATTTCATATATTTTCTACTCATTTTTAAAAATTGTCATTTGGGACATGTAAGAACCAGTCTGTCTGTATATTGTAGCCAGACAGACAAATGTAAAAGTTCCCATTAAGTATATGTGGAATGAATATTGACAAGGTATATTTGGTTACGTTTTGTTATATAATGTTTATAAAATAAAGGGAGACAAATAATAGCTTAAACCATATGAAATTATTGATATTTTACTATTTTTTGTCTATAAAAAGAGCAATTTCATACAGTTAAACCAAAAGAAAAAGAAAGAAATGACACTGGTTGCCTATTAGTTTCTAAAGACTTTTAGAGCTGAATATTCAGTTTTTAAAAATATATATATATATATATATATAGTAACATATGTAATACAATGTAACAAGCTGATAGTTGCCAGAGGGGAAAGGTGTAGAATGGAGGGCAAAAAGGGTGAAGGGAGAATAAGAGATACAAATTTCCAGTTTTAAAATCAGTAAATCACAGGGATCTAATGTACAGCAATAGGATATATAGTCAAGAGTATTGTGATAGCTTTGTATATTGTCAGATGATTACTAGACTCATGGTAATCACTTCTTTTGGTATTAAAGTTTTGAATAACTGAAATAAGATAATATTGTACATTAACTATATTTTAATTTAAAAACATACTTTATTTAAATTTGTAAGTTTTTATAGCTGAATGAGTACTACAGCAATTATTTAATACTCATGCTTACCTTGGCATAAACTACTAATGGATTGTAAAGAGAGACAATGCAGAATCCTGATACTTCACTACAGTAAACATTATAATGACCTTTTTTGATCTTTGCTGTGTTAGTCCTCCTGTCAGACGCCAGAGAGGAAGAAGGGATCGTCTGTCTCGACATAATTCCATTAGTCAAGATGAAAATTATCACCATCTCCCTTATGCACAGCAGCAAGCAATAGAAGAACCTCGAGCCTTCCACCCTCCGAATGTATCCCCTCGTCTGTTACACCCTGCTGCTCATCCACCCCAGCAGAATGCAGTAATGGTTGACATACATGATCAGGTATAGTAACAGAATGTCCAAGAAGTACAGATGCTAAAAGTTGGTGGCAGTTTATTGAAGTTGTTTGTATTTTGTGTGTGTGTGTTTTTTTAAAGTGTTCTTACTGATTTTTTTAGAGAGAGGGGAAGGGAGAGAGAGAAAACATCTATGTGAGAGAGAAACATCAATCGGCTGCCTCCTGCACGCCCCCTAATGGGGGTTGAGCCTGCAACCCAGGCATGTGCCCTGACCAGGAATTCAACTGGGATCTCTCAGTCCATGGGACGATACTCAATCCACTGAGCCACACCAGCCAGGCGAGGTTGTTTATATTTTGAAATTTCTTTTAATTTTACTTAAAAGGAAACAATTTTACCTAATATGAAGCAGTTTTAGACAAGCTCATCATTTTTCATAAGGAATGAAATGTAAATTCTACACAGCTTTCTTAGAAGAAAGTTGAACTTTAAAAATTTAGAATCAAAGTGTTTTAAAAATTGATAAGAGTGGCACACCTCTTGTGAGCTTGGTTAAGAAGAAAAGGACAAATGTAAAGAAGACTAGGAATGACTAAAAGACATATATCCACACATGGGAAACATTCAGATAATTTTCTTCAGTTGTAAAATGAAAATAGCTCCTGTTTCATTAGAGATGTTGTGAGAATTAAGAGTCAGTCTAGCCCCGCCAATGTGGCTCAGTGGTTGAGAGTCGACCCACGCACCAAGAGGTCGCTGGTTTGATTCCCAGTCAGGGTATATGCCCAGCTTCTGGGCCAAATGCCCAGTGGTGGGCATGCAGGAGGCAGCCAATCGATGCTCTCTCATCAGTGTTTCTGTCTTTCCCTCTCCCTTCCTCTTTCTCTCTAAAATCAATAAAGAAAAAAAAACCTCTTCCTGAACTTCTGTTAAAAATAGTCCAGCGCTGGCTAGTTTGACTCAGTGGTGGAACATCAGCCCACAGACCAATGAGTCCTGGGTTCAATTCCAGCCAAGGAAACGTACCTAGGTTGTGGTTTGTCCCCAGCCCTGGTCGGGGTCGTGTGGGAGGTAACTAGTCGATGTGTCCCTCTCACATCGATGTTTCTCTCTCTCCCTCTCTCTCTACCTGAAGATAAATAGAAAAATGTCCTCGGGTGAGGATAAAAAAAAAAGGAGTCCAATCTATTTTGAGCAGTTCAACTAATACAAGTGATGGGTGCTCAATTATATTCATTATTAACTATGATAATGAAATTATGTATGTAACACTGGGGGAACAAAAATTTATCCAAGAATAATAGGGAAATTGGAATTACCACAGAAATGTGAAAGCTAATTAGAAATTACCATTAAAAAGGCACAATGACCAGATGGCTTCACAGCTGTTTTTTTTTACCCTTCAAGGAGTACTCATTTATTAACAGTCAAATGATTCCAGGCTTTTTTTTTTTTTCTCTTAAGATAATTTTTTTTTTCTTTATTGATTTTTAGAGAGAGAGGAAGGGAGAGGGAGAGAGAGATAGAAACATTGATGAGAGAGAATATTGATTGGCCACCTCCTGCATGTCCCTCACTGGGGATCAGGCCCACAACCTGGGCATGTGCCCTGACTGAGAATCGAACTGGTGACCTCTTGGTGCATGGGTCGATGCTCAACCACTGAGCCACACCAGCCGGGCTCTTAAGATAATTTTTGTTGATTTCATGAAGCAAGCGTAATTTTAATACTAAAAGCAAATAAAGATGGTAATCTCCCCCAAAAAACTAGAAAAAAAGCCCTAGCCGGTTTGGCTCAGCAGTTAGAGCGTTGGCCTGCGGTCTAGAGAGACCCGGGTTCGGTTCCCGCTAAAGGCACGTACCTTGGTTGCAGTTTGTCCCCGACCTTGGTTGGTCATGCGGGTGGCAGCCACTCGATGTGTCCCTTTCACGTCGATGTTTCCCTCTCTTTCTCTTCCTCTCTCTCCCCCTCCCACTCTATCTGTACAAAAAATGGAAAAATGTCCTCTGGTACGGATAAAAAAAAAAAAAAAGTCTGGAATACATAGGAAGAATTTCTTAACAGATGTTTCGAAAAAACAGTCTGGCAATGTATCAAAAGAATAACAGCCTATGACCAAATAAGATTTATTCCCAAGTAAGAGAGGATAGTTTAATATGAAAGTATATTGTGTCAAAAAATAATAGAAGGAAAATCATACATGATTTTATCAAAAGATGTTGGAGCCTGGCCAGTGTGGCTCAGTGGTTGAACGTCAACCCATGCACTAAGAGGTCACCGGTTTGATTCCTGGTTGGGGCACATTCCCAGGATGTGGACCAGATCCCCATTGTGGGGCACGCAGGAGGCAGGCAATCAATGTTCTCTCTCATCGATGTTTCTATCTCTCTCTCTCCCCCCCCCCCTTTCTCTTTCTAATATCAATAAAGAAAAATAAATAAAAAGATGTTAGAATTTAATAAAATTAAATTCTAGTCAGTTAAAATTTAATAAAAACTGGAATAAATTAGAATAAGAAGGAAATTACTTAAATATAATAAGTAAAACTAACAAAGTATCCTAATTGCTAAGAGACAAATCAGCAACTACGGAGAAGCTTACTTTACTGTGTCCATTTTTATTTAATGTTACATTAGAAGTTCTACCAAATGCAATAAGATAATTAATGGATATAAAAAACTGAAAGAGCCCTGGCCGGTTTGGCTCAGTATTTAGAGCATCAGTCTGTTGTCCAGAGAGACCCGGGTTCGGTTCCCGCTAAGGGCGCGTACCTCGGTTGCAGTTTGTCCCCAGCCCTGGTTGGTCGTGCGGGTGGCAGCCACTCGATATGTCCCTTTCATGTTGATGTTTCTCTCTCTCTCTCTCTCTCTCTCTCTCTTCTCTCTCTCTCCCTCCCACTCTATCTGAACAAAACAATGGAAAAATGTCTTCGAGTGAGGATAAAAAATAATAATAAAAAAATTGAAATAATTATATCTTTCTCACCCTCATTATATAATTATAAAAGAAAACACAGATTCTACTTTGAAAGATGTTGACATGGTACCTAAATGCTAATTAAATGTTGATCAACTAATGTGTAGATATAATATGTTATATCCATACAATGACTATTACTCCAAAAAATAATAAAGTACTGACTCATGCTATACCATGGGTTAATGTTGAAAACATGCTAAGTAAAAGCAGCAAGTCATGGAAGGCCACAGATTGTAGATTCCATTTATATGAAATGTCTAGAATAGGCATATTCATAGAAACAGAAAATAGGAACAAACTGATTGCTTATCATTAGTAGAAAAGTAGAATAATTTTCTCATACCTTAGAATGTAATATTACAAGGAATTAATTATATTTATGCCAGGAACATGAGCAATATCTGCAAGATATTGAGCAATAGAAGCAAATTTGAGGACAATGTTATGTCTTGTTTTGTAAAGCATGATGATTAAATAACGTGTATATGTCAAACTATGAACACAAAGGAAAATACGAAGATATATATACTGCACTTGGGGTGTGTGTGCTAAAGTGAAGGGAATAGGAAGGTAGTTAAAAATGGAATCAAAGAAAAGGCTATATTTCAGAAGAGGTGAGATCTCATTTAAGATAAATTATATGTTGGGTGTATGTATTGAGAAGTGAAACAGTTACATATGTAAATATCAGAACAACCCAAGATGTAGAAAACCTTAACAGACCAATAGCCATGGCAGAAATTAAAGAAATAAAACACCTGTCTTTAGAAATACCATCTGAATTGTCTAATCTCTAAAGAACCAGTAATTTATTAAGTTCCAATTTAAAGTATTCCATATCATAGTAAATGAAAGTTTCCAAGTATATTTTATGGGTTTTACATATCCCAGTGCAATATATATATATATATATATATATATATATATATATATATGCACACACATATATATACACACACACATATATATCTCCATCATTTCTACTAAAAGGTCATAAATGAAATGAAAATAGAGAAAAATAATCTATCGATAATATAGCAAACCCACAAACTTACAAGAGAACTTTGAGGAATAACTTTAATAATAATATAATAATGAAGAAAACTAATTTCTTGAAGGATAAAATTTAATACTAGCATAATATCTTTATGAAGGAAACTAATTTCTTGAAGGGGATAGTACCATAGTATTGAACATGTGGTAATAAAATGTTTCAGTGAACAAAGCCTTAGTACAAATTGTGTCCTTGGTAAAGTAACATAACCTTGAACACAGTTAAATGAATACAAATCAGGATATCAGTGGGTTTTGCAACTGAGTAAAATTATTTACATAAGAATAAATGTGTGAAGACGACCAAAAAAATAAAAAGAAAGTATGGTAATGAAGAGTTTGTCTTACTAGATATTAACCTTTCTAGTAAGATTCTATATAGTCATTGAAACAGCACAAATTTGGCATGAAATTGTTACAGGTGTATGTGGGACGTTATTGAATAGAAAAATGATGGTATTCAGTTTAGAGGGGAAAGGATGGTTTAATAAATGGAACAAGTATAATTGCAAGAAAAATTAGAGCTCTACTTCACACTATAAACAATCATAGATTTTAGTTGGGGTATAAATTAAATATAAAAAATAAAAGTATTGAAAAGTTTAGGAGCATACATGTACAGGGTGGGGTGAAAGTAGGTTTACAGTTCATGTGGGAAATAATACAATAATTAATAAATAATAATACAAGAATAAACTATTTTTGCCTTAGCCAGTTTGGCTCAGCAGTTAGAGCATCGGCCTGTGGTCCAGACAGACCCTGGTTTGATTTCCACTAAGGTCATGTGCCTCACTTGCAGTTTGTCCCTGGCCCTGGTTGGGTCGTGCAGGAGGCAGCCACTCTATGTGTCCCTTTCACATGGATGTTTCTCTCTCTCTCTCCCTCCCACTCCAGCTGGACAAAAACAAACAAACAAAAAAAAAAACTGTTTTGTGTACTCATAGATGTAAACCTACTTTTGCACCACCTTGTATAATTTCATAAAGGAAACTACAAAAGCTACACTTAAA